TATATGACCATACACATCTTCAACTTTAAAAAAGACACAGATAGGGACAAACATAGACATAAAGAGCTTGCCTAATACACAGAAGACTCTGGGTTCAAACCCTAGTACGCAAATAAGAAAACCATAGCGCCACCACAAATCCTACAGGCACTGTACACTTAACAGAGTAAAATTGTTACAGTAATCCTGAAAGTCAGGCGTAGAGCAGTGATCTACATCTACCTCTTCCCAGCACCCAACACTGAGGCAGAAATCCAGAGAACAGCCTGGGCTGCCTGAGACACTCTGACTCAATGAGAGAAAGAAGCGTGGAGTCCTCCCTCAGGCAAGGATGTTAAAGCAGATGCATGTTGACTCTCTCTTGGACAAAGGTAATTTTATTTTCATTCTTTTTTTGGAGGGTTTTGCATTCTCTGTGTAGCCCTAGCAGTCCTAGAACTTGCTCTGTAGACCAGGCTGGCCCTGAACTCAAAGATCTGCCTGTCTCTGCCTTCTAAGTGCTGGGATTAAAGGCATGTGCTGCCACCACCCGGCTACAAAAGTAATTTTTATAAGTAAATTTACAGTAATGTAAAAAGGTTTTTTTTTGTATGTGTTCACATGCACATATGTGAACACGCATGTCATAGCACATGTGAACACGCTTACCACGGCACATGTCAGAGCCCATGTGAAGGTCAGAAGTCTACTGCTCCTCTTACTCTGCCACTTGGTCAGTCTACTCTTTCATCCTGTGGATGATACCGGATCCTAGTTGGCTGTGCGGTACTGCAGGCCTGTGATTCTTTTTACTAAGTAACAACTTAAACGAATCCTTTAAAGATGGTTACAAGTGGGTAGACTTCTCATTTTTCTCAATGAAAATGAGGAGGAAATGGCCTTTTCAGTGGCAGGTAGGTTTTAGGAATTATGAACGGCCATAGTTACAAGCATTTGCATATGGATGATGAAAATAACATCATCCACAGTTTATAGTTAATTAGGAAAACCCTACCTACTTGTAAATAGTTTTCGGGTTTTCTAATTACTTTATGCAACTACTGCGGAAGTCTGTCTTCTTAAGAGATGTTTGTAGAATGCCTGGGGTTGAGGCATAGCGTTTGGTGGATAGAAAGGGGCTCAATATTTTTGAAGGGACAAATTATTGACTGAAATGAACACAATAGCCTCTCTAAGGCCCCCTGGGCTCCTATTATTCCTATGATGTGCTTCCGCACCCCTCTATGTCAATCATGATGTATTTCCTTCCCTTCCCTCCAAAAGGCCCTGGTTATTCTTTCTTCCCATAGGAATCTAGAAGCCATAATTACCCTGATCCTCCTCATTAGGCAATAGTCTTTCCCTGGGCCTTCCTGATAACTGGCTGAAGGTTTTTTGTTGTGGTTTGTTTTTTACATAAAGCAAACCTCTGCCCCCTGGCTACTTGAATCCCTTATTCCCATTCCTACTTATAAGTAATTAATTTATTATTGGGGGTAATATTATCAGTGTCACACCAGTATATTTATACATCAACTTCCTAGAGCAGACTTCATTAACAATAGTGAAAACGTTCAGAAAAACACAGGCATTCAACCATAGGTCTAATAATTGAGATGAAATACTTTTTACAAACACTAGTATTCTAGTCTTTTTAGTACCTTCATGATGTGATCTGACAAATACAACCTTAGATCAAAAAAAAAATATTTTTTCTCCCCTGTGATTGGCAAAAGTGAATTCTTGGGGCTGGAGAGATAGCTCAGTGGTTAAGAGCACTGACTGCTCTTCCGAAGTCCTGAGTTCAATTCCCAGCAACCACATGGTGGCTCACAGCCATCTGTAATGGGATCTGATGCCCTCCTCCCATGTGTCTGAAGACAGTGACAGTGTACTCACATACATAAAGTAAATAAATAAATCTTTAAAAACAAAAAGAATGAATTCTTATGTTTTTAGTGTCTGAAAGTGCCGTCAAGAGTTGCACTTTTCAATGGCTATTTAAGCCAGTATTTGTACAATTGTCCTATTTTCTGGTTCCCATGTCACTAATTTAATTTGGCCTCATGGCAAAACTGCTCCCCATTACGCAGAACAAATTGGACACACGACTCATTTCCTATCTTGATTAGTCTGAGCCCATACTGCAGGCTCTTCTCCCATCTTCCTCACCAGACAGACGCATTAGAATCTGGCGCCCATGTTTGGTCTGTCTAAACGTAAGGAAGTGAAAGAAACCTCAAACCACCACTTTTCTGCTACCAAGAAGGCAAAATAGTACCCTTCCCTTTCTCTGTTGTTCAAAAACTAAGGTCAGCAAGCAGAAATAAGGGCTTTCCCTCGAGTTAGTAGGTTATCTGGTGCAGTGAGAGGAGTACTAGGTGGGTGGATGGGTGGATGGATGGATGGATGGATATAGAGATAGATAGATAGATAGATGGATGGATGGATGGATGGATGGATGGATATAGAGATAGATAGATAGATAGATAGATAGATAGATAGATAGATAGATAGATGGATGGATATAGAGAAAGATAGATAGATGGATGGATATAGAGATAGATAGATAGATGGATGGATGGATGGATGGATGGATATAGATAGATGAATAGAATAGATAGATGGATAGATAGATGAATAAATAGATAGATTCTGCCCTCAAACAAACCAATCAGCAAGTATCATATATAATTAAAAATGCCATCATACCCTATGAGATTGAAGTCCATGGAGGAAGCATATGTTAGAGTATACATAACTGACTTTAGAGTAAAAAGTCACTTTAGGGTAAAAGCTGACTATAGGGAAAAACCTATAAAAGGGAAAGGAGCAATTTTATGTGTGGGTATTTAGATCCTCCATAGTTTTTTGTTTGTTTTTTCCCTTTTTTGAAACAAGGTTCCTTTATGTAGCCCTGGCTGTCCTGGAATTCATTATGTAGACCACTAGACTGGCCTCTCAAATTCATAGAGATACAACTGCGTCTGACTCTCAAGTGCTGGGATTAAAGGTATGTTCCATCAGGAGCCTACATTTAAAAAAAAAATAGAATTTCACCTGTAGTTCAGATACAATTTTTTTTTTCAAGACAGAATTTCACTGGTGACTCAGGTGACTTTAAACTCATGATGCCCCTGCCTCAACTTTGCTGCTGCTAGAATTACAAGTGTGCCCAGCAAAGCCACACTAGATCCCCAGCCCTTGATTTAAGAGATACTCCAAACCACTTATTATTGTACATTATGTTAATGCTGATTCATTATCTCTCTAAACCTTTAAAATTAGAAACAACAACAACAAACAACCAACAGCAAAAAAGCAAGCAGACTAGATTTTGTAAGAAACCAAGACTGTGTCCACCTTGCCTTTAGTCCCAGCACTAAGGAGGCAGAAGTAGGTGGATTTCTTGAGTTCGAGACCAGCCTGGTGGAGATTCAGGACAGCCAGGGCTACACAAAGAAACCCTTTCACAAAAAAGGAGAGATAGAGAGAGAGAGAGAGAGAAAAGTGTGGGGGTGGGGGGAGACAGAGAGGGTGGGAGATAAAAGAACGAAAAAGAAATCAGGAGTGATATACAAAGTAACGAAAACATTCAAACTTTCTGTACTGTACCCACTGAACTATGTGTTCAATAACAGATCAAATTTAGTTGGGGATAGTATAAAATGCTAGACTGAAAAATCTAACACACTGTATATATAAGTCTGGGAGTGCCAATGAATCTGAGTTCCAGGCCTGCCAAGGCTACTTACTCTATCTCAAAATAACAACAAACAAAACAACTACAGGAACCTGAATCCGGAAGAGAAAACCTAAATTTGTTAAATGTTTAAAATCTCTCTCAAATTATCCAAGATGATAAAATAAAGAGAAAACATTATGCATTTCAAAAAAAATAAATATCGTTTCATCTCTTTTAGAGCAAATAGGTATTGAATCTCATTAAGATTATGAAATCAAAGATGAACTTAACTCCTGTTTGAATATGAATATGATTACAAACACACAGTCAATTATTTTTCTTTTGTTTACACCAAACACCAGTTTTCAAGAAACCTTACACTGAAGTTGCCGGCTCAAAGTGTTAACCATCCCTACTCTGGTCCCACAAGCAACTCCCAATAGATTAAAAAAAAAAAAAAAAGAATTCTAGCTTAGGGACTGAAGATCGTATTTCCATGCTAATTTCACAGCTCGGTTGTTTGCTAAACGTTATAAATTAAGATTTAAAAGGGTGAGGAAGCTTGAAGAAGTGAACTTTCCAAGTTCCTAATGTTATCCTGAAGGAAATTATCCAGCTCCCGGTAGAATTTACATCAGCTTAATATTCCACTTGAAACAATGACTCTCTTTCCCTTTTTTCTTAAGGCGGCGGAGGGACCAGTCCTGTCTAACTTTGAGCAGCCGTTTCCTCGCCTCACAGTGACCTACTCTTTCCAATCACCTCTACAACGTTCTTGCTCCTCCAAGACAGCGGGGATGGTTTTAGAAAGCTGGTATTCCAAACTCGGACACCACCACCGAGGATCGGCGGGTGGCAGCAGGTGCCTGGCGGTACTACGACCAGACCGACGCAGGGAAGGCTAATGTCACCTCCCGGCGATCAGAGAGCCGGCGGCGGGATGTGCTGGGGATGTCCCCGGTGCTCGCACCCGCAGCGCCCGGCCCGCATCCGCCCCGCGCCCTTCTCCGGCCGCGCTCCGGTCCACCTGAAGCATCTCCGGTACCCGGGAGGTGGCCAGCGGACTCCGGGCTGCAGGACCGCAAGACGCACCGAGACTTCCCAGAGGCGCCAATTCTAAGTTCGCCGGCGCCGGCGCCTCTCCACCGCGCGCCCCTTGGCTCGCTCCCTCCGTCCGTCCACAGCCCCCTCTCCTCTCGCAGGACCCCCCGGCTGCCTGCGGGCGGGAAAACTCCGTCAGGTGCCTCCCGCCCCCCCGGCTCCCGTCGGACGTCCGCTCCTACAGGGGGAGCCTCGCTCAGCCAACCGCCGCAGCCGCGCGCCCCCCTCCACTCACCGGCACGAGCCCGAGCAGCCATCTTAGCGCTCACAGCGCGCCCCGGGGCCCCCTAGTTCGGTCGCATCTGGGCGCCAGGGTCTCGGGCTACGTCAGCAGAGAGACGAGGCCACGCCCTGGCCACGCCCACGCGAGAGGCCACGCCCCTTGGCTGTCCAGCGTGAACGGAGCTGGTACGAAGGCCATCCCGCGTCCCACGGGCACATGGCTCTGTCATCCCGCGTCCCACGGGCACATGGCTCTGTGTGGACGACAAAAACTTCCTTTCAGGGCGGGCTTTCCACTTGCCGCGGCCTTCGAGGCCGGGAAGGAGAAGTCCACTATTAACCACATACTTGAGAGATGCTAAATATTCCACCCGTGTGTGCTCACACAGAGCGCCCCGGTTTTCTGCTACTCACACATCTTCGAATCATCCATCCATCAGGCAGCGACCGGGGCCAATTCCTTATGTTAAAAAAATCTGCTCAAATTCTCAGCTGTAGACGCTTCCCTCACAGGCACAGAGCTGCAGCGGGGAATGATTTAACACGAAAATACTCCTCAGCTTGGCGTAAGGAAACTCAAAATGATCAGTGTAAGACGGTGAAGTTTATGTGCGAAAGAAATGGAGAGAACAAACGAGAGGAAACTGCATTAGGAAGTCGGGCCTACACGGTCAAAAAAAAAAAAAATCTTGTCAATCATTTGGAGCTATAACTGGTAAAGAACGTAGGCTGCTTTTCTAGAGAACCCAGGTTCGATTCCCAGCACCGACAAGGCCGCTTACAACGCTCTTTTAATTCGAGTTCCAGAAGAGCTGACGCACTTTCTGCTTTCCCTTGGGAACGGGCACACACATACATTCAAGCAAAACATCCTTACACTTAAATAGTAAAGCTCTTTAAAACAAAATAAAAACAACAACAACAAATGGTTGCCTAAAGCCATTTCTGCCTCAGCTAACCCGTGGGACACTAAAAATGAAGACGCTGTCTCCAAAGCAGCCAGATAAACGCACGAAGTTAATATCAGTGGATTGCTAAATCTGGCACTACTTAGGACAAACTAAAATTGTTCGTTTTTTTAAACCAACAAATATACTCCAGGGAGTTTCACTAGTGTGGGGTGAGAGGGGAAAATGAACACACAAATATTTGAATGGATAAAATGTCTAACCAAAGGAAAATGGCAAATTAACATCTACTATAGATGTTAATTTAATAACCCCTTGGGAGTTCTTAGGTTGGTAACAAAATAACAATAGAAATGCAAATGATTCCTATTTGAAAAAAATACCGCATATATGAAGATTACAAACACGGGAAATAGTTACGTAAATAAAAATGAAAGACTTCAAGAAATGAGTCTGCAAAGCACACAGTAATTCAATTCACACCCCCCCACACACAGCATTTTTCCCTCACACACAAAGGTAATATTTATTTTGTGTGCATCCGTGGGGGGAGGGGCGCCCCAGTGGCGCAGTATGCGTGTGGTCAGAGAGCTACTTGTAAGAGTCTCTTTGCCAGACATTTTCCCTGAGCCCTCACACTCTCCTCCCACTATGTGGGTTCCACGGATGGAATTCGGGTCGCCACACTTGGTGGGGCAAGTGCCTTCATCGAGCGTGTCAACCAGCGAGAACCATCTTGAGGGAACTAGGGCTCTCTAAGGGAGAGAGAGAGCCCTGGGTTTGATCTCCAGTACTGCAGAACACAACAAAAATTGTCTCAAAAACAACGTGAAACAGAACGAAGGCTATCAGCAATACAGAATTCCAGTCAGAAAACAAGGTCAAATGGACTCACAGGAGAATTCAGAAACAGGAGTTTCCTGAGATCATAATGGCTTCAAAAAAAAAAAAAAAAAAAAGTCGCACATAGCCTGGTGCGAACCAAAACCCTGTGAATAAATGACGAAGGAAGTAAAATAGGAAGAGAACAAAACAACCGCAAGCTCCGTTAGGCAGAGGTGAGGGTGTGGAGTAGGATGCTGTTAACCAAATCAAATATCTGAGTACAAGTTTGCATGGGGTCAAGTGGGAAGGGAGGCCAGAGAAGAGCATTAACAGTGTTAATTACAGAGAATGTTTGTAACACTTTTATGTTTATTGTTACAAATTCCCTCGGCTACGGTCTGTTCCTGCTCTTCCTACCCACTACGGCAGGCTCGCGCTTGCTTCTTTGAGCTCAGGACCTCTCTAGTGTACTTGCATTTGCACGCTGTCAGGATCATCTTTTAATTTCTCTTTTGTTTTGAACCACTCTCATCGGATCTAAGCTTTTCACTATAGTGTTTGCAAAGATGCCTCTTTCCCATCCTTATCAACCGATTCCCACACTTACCTATTACGTCCTTAAAATCTGTCCCCGAATTGGCCCTTAAGTCGGTCCCTTTATCCTTTCCCAAGCTTAAGGTGCTTACCGCCTTCGAATCCAGGCAGACTGTGTATTTCCTAAGTAGAAACTCCTCCGGTTTCAACTCCTCCAAATCGCAAATCAAGCTCTTTCAGGTTTGGCCTAAACTCTCACCTCCTGAAAACCACTTTCCTAGGAAAAAGGGGGTCCCGGGTTCCCATCCCCCTTTCAGCAGCACATTGTTATGCGGTCCTTGCTTTTGTTCAGCGTTCTGAGCCCGGTTCTCTCCATTTGCATTGCAACCTCTTCGGGGACAAGTACTTTGCCCCGTTTGTTTACCTCTCCACAGCCCATAACGTAGCACCAGCCCCAAATACCCTTAAAATTCCTCTCCACAGCAAAAGTGAGAGCTACCCTGCGTAGGATGGATTTTGAGAGTGATGTGGAAGGCGTTTCCTCTGCTCCTAACAGCCCATCTTGGGAGAAATGATGACAATGTATCCTTTTCCCAAAGTAAGCAGTTTCTTAAGAAATCATTTAAGCATTCTGACTCGTAATTAGTATGTAACTAGTTATTCCTGAAGTACGATACAAACTGATTTTGTTTCTAGCACCCTACAACGGAGTATGAACAAATACAAGGCAAACACAGCACACTTCAGAAATTTTAGAGCTTGATTTTTTTTTTGGCTTTGTGTTGGTTTTTCTTTTAACTTAGTCTTTTGAGACTAGGAAAATTGCCTTTGTGAAGAAGAATTAGTGAGTTTCTTAAATTTTAGGATGTAAGTCCCAGCTTTCCAGAATGTTCTCCTCTGCTAATATTAAGATTTACAGACCCCTATGCCAGGCCTTATGCCAGGAATTGAAATAGCTGTGCCTTCATCTCCATAAAAGGATGGATAAAGGGAAGTAGATTAAGAAACACTACAGTGGGGGGCTGGGCACATATCTCTGTGGTTAAGGGCTCACCCAGGGTTCAATCCCCCAGCCCTGCCACAAAAGAAAGCACCCCAAAGAGCTTAGCTGAAAAGTTTGAAGTGTAGCTTCACACTACGGTTGAGTTTAAAGGACTGGGACCCAAAGGTCCTTAAATTTCTGGCAAACATTTAAGAAAAAAAATGGCTTTAGAATTTTCTTTTTTTTTTAAGTCTAAGGAATGACAAATGTCGGCTGCTGGTAGAAGTGAGGCAAACCAAATAAAGCAGACTTGTTTCAAAAAGAACATTTTTCTCTTTTGTATCCTTGATGCCGCGTGATGAAGGCATCTAGGACCTTGCGCATGTCAAGCCCTTTGTCGGGGGCCGCCCCAAGCTGCTGAAGACCTTTTCCGGTGTGTGTTTGTGGTCTGTGAGAGAAGTTTGCATTTTTTGGAGGCAAGTTTTCAATATACGCATAGCAGAAACTGAAACCGAATACTGGTTTAGGTATGAATGGATGCAAAATCGTGAAGCTACTCTGTTCAGCTCCTCCTAACGTCCACCCACCCCTAGCAGCCCATCTCCACCCCTCCGGTCTCTCAGGGTCCTTCAGTCTCTTGCCTCCAGGCTTGTACCACGTTGTCAAAGTTTCTCTCACGTCTTTCTCTTCCTGTCCCATTTTGTTGTGGGGCAGGTGCCCCAACCTTCCAGTTTTGAAGGAGTTCTATTCTCATGCAATAAATTCATCCACGTCATAAGGTGTGCATTCCTTAATTTTTATTTATTTTATCTTTTATTTTTTGCATTCTCTTTAAGAATGAATGCTCCAGGTATGGGGCTGGAGAGAGAGCTCCGTGGTTTAAAGTACTCGTTGCTCTTGCAGAGGACCCACGTTCGATTCCCAGTACCCACATGTTGGCTCAATACCATCTGTAACTTCAGAGGATCCAATGCCTTCTTTTGGTCTTTACTGGCACCAGGCACACTTATGGTATACATAAGTGTCACACCAGCTAAACATACATATAAAATAAATAATGCTCTAAGTGGAGCCTGTAGACACCTGCAGAACGGCATTTTCTCTCTCTCTCTCTCTCTTTTTTTTTTTTTTTTTTTTGGTTTTTCGAGACAGGGTTTCTCTGTGTAGCTCTGGCTGTCCTGGAACTCACTCTGTAGACCAGGCTGGCCTTGAACTCAGAAATCTGCCCGCCTCTGCCTTCTAAGTGCTGGGATTAAAGGCGTGTGCCACCACTGCCCGGCTTTTCTTTTCATTTCTTTCTTTCTCTCTCTCTCTCTCTCTCTCTCTCTCTCTCTCTCTCTCTCTCTCTCTCTCTTTCTGTCTCTCTGTCTCTTTCTCCCTCCCTCTCTCTCTCTATTTCTTTCTTTCTTTCTTTCTTTCTTTCTTTCTTTCTTTCTTTCTTTCTTTCTTTCTTTCTTTTCTTAGACAGAGTTTCTCTGTGTAGCCTTGACCGTCCTGGAACTTACTTTGTAGACTACATTCAAACTCAGAGATCCACCTGCCTCTGGAGAATGACATTTCTAAAATGAAATTTTAAATCTTGTTTTATGTCTGTACTAAAATACCAATAAATTTGGGGGATAAATACTATAAAAGTTAAATTAATTATAGAACCATGATAGCCACCACCAACAAAGATTCAGCATCTCTTTCTTATACGAGGCCAAGAGTTCAAGAAAAATGAGAGACAGAAGTGGTCTCAGGGATTAAGATGCTAACTTTTAAAGGGTCAGGGAAAACTACAGCAAGAAGATAGATGGAATCCGTATGAGGGTTTGACTCTTGGCTATTCAAAGTTTGCATTTATGCGTCC